CAATAGTTTCTTTATATCAAGCCAATCATAAAATAGGTTTAAGTATGTACAAGAAAAGATCGTGTAAGTATTGTTTTATTAGTTAAATTGTGATATAAATGAAAAATAATTGGCATTTTGATCAATTATAAAATTTAGTCTAAATTAGTGTTGAATCACGACCAATATAAGGCGGATGGAAAAAAGAAATACCTCATTGCTAAATTTTGTGTTTTTGCTAAATTATTATCTAATAACAAGAAAAGTTTATTATTGTTATTATCCATAAACATTTGACCAAGTTAATAATGAAGTTGTTAAACCATTAAAGTAAAAATCTACTGGGCTAATTTTTCAAAATTATTAAAAACCATGACTATTTTTAACAAAATGTACATACATATTCAGAGCAGTTAGGATTTACGATCGACACCGTCCGAAAACCTCTGAAGCCAAAATTTTTTGAATTTAGCAAAAATTCCCTGTGTTGCTTAAATTTAAACTATTACGATAGACAATCTAAGAATCGTAAATGTAAACCAAATTTTTCTTTGGGAAGAAGGGAAAATCTGAGTGATTTTTAAGCCCAGCAACGTATTCTGGGTCCGTCCAATCTTGCTCTCTAAGTGGATTTTCCCCAAATTTCTGTTTTATTTTCCGGTTGTCAACATGTTGAAACAGAAAATATCAGAAAAGAAAAATATCAGAGAATATTAATTATTGTCTTATTCACTGTTCTGTTCATCAGCCTCATTAAAAAAAATTTGTCATAAAATTTTAATATTGATACTTGCGAGAAGTTAGATGTTTAGTATACACATTACTTAGTGCATTAGTATTAGTATTAAGTTCGTACATTGACTGTTAGATAATTATTTAATATCTTGACTTCATGATATGTATTTCACGATTATTCAATTATTCCAGGGCATAACTGGAAAAATTCGTACACCAACCCTTCAGGATTGCGATTTTAAAATTTAAGACCCTCTTCGGTACAAATTCAATTTTTTATTGTGCTTATATTTAATAAACTTTTTTAAATTTTTTTGACTTAATACACACCTAAATAATTTACTGGAATTTGCGCTTATATTATTTGGCCAAAACTGGACTTACTCAGGTTTACCCCGAGGGTGCAGTTTTACATATTGACTTGAAAATTTAGTCTGTTTTTCCCTGTTTATTTCATACATTATGGACCCATAAGGGGTATGTGACAATCAATGAGATAATTTTATGATATAATATCCTGAAAAATAGGACTATTAGAAAAATGAAGTAACGATTTATATAAAGGCGAGCAATTTAGAACTTTTGAAAGTGTTTACTCCCTATTTTTTCATGTTATTTTTATTGTCATAAACTTAATCCTTTACTATACCCCCAATTTTATTTGACATTTATTTAATGAAGATAACATTCAGATACAAATTCTTCGTCTATTGCGACACTAGTGGAAATTTACAGCCGCCGAAACCACGCGTGGTCGGTGAATTTGAAGAGGAGGGAACACTTAATAAATAAATCGGATTGTACGGAGGTGGTTTGAAAAATTTGAAAGTAGCAATACAATCCTGTAAAGGGAGCAAGGCTCAGAGCGACCATCTGTACTGAATAGCAGGATTCCACGAGGCGGTATTGTAGGCCAGTTCAACAAAAAAACGTTCATAGTAATCAAACGTACTAGGTTTTGTTAGACTCAAGTGTGAATCGCCACTTACACAATTTAGGGAAAGTGAAAGAACATACAGAAAGTTCTACACGAGGTCGACTAAACACATAAAACACCTGAAAAACTCTTATAAAATCCAAACAATAAACGAGTTATGAAAAGGATTGTTGCCTTTGGGTAAAATTTAATTTATTCACACAATTTTGGATAAGTAAAATATGTATTTTTACATTTATTTATTGTTCATTTTATTTTATTATATATGTATGTATTTAAATAAAAACTATTAAGACAGACAATCGAAACGTCCAAATATTAACCAAGTTTTATTTATGGAGGGCGAGAAAATCTATGTGAATTTCCGTACCACAATATTCTGGGTCCGTTCAATTTCCACAAATTCTATTTTGTTTGCCATGCCAATATAGTGGATCAAAAATCAAAATAAAAAGTTTGAGAAAAGACTCGTTGCCTTTGTCTAAAATTTAATTTATTCATGTGTTTTTGAATAAGTAAAATATGTATTTTTACATGTATTTATTGTTCATTTTACTTTTATTACATATGTATGTGTTTAAATAAGAACTATTAGGGCAGACAATCAAAACATACAAATGTTAACCAAGTTTTCTTTATGAAGGGCGAGAAAATCTATGGGATTTTTCGTTCCACAACAACATGGGTCCGTCCAGTTTCCACTAATTCTATTTTGTTTACCGTGCAACATAGTGGACCAAAAATCAAACATAAAAAGTCTGAGAAAAGACTCGTTGTCTGCGACAAAGTGAATTTACTCGCGAAATCCTAAGACATCGGGACAGTTGATAGACCGAGGTCAGCCTGCTACATCGTGCTTTTAATTTTGAAGTGGTTTATTCCAGAAGGGCGTTCTGTAAAATCTGACCTTTCTATAACTGCAACGATGTTTTGGCGAATAGAAAAATTAAAACGATCACATTTTCTGAGCAATTGTTCCATTGAGAAAGACAAATTTAGAAGTAGAAGAAACTTTATTAACAAAGTTCTGAAAATAATTGGTTCTAAGTATAACTTTAATTTTACCTCTTGAAACAGTCATTTCTAACACTCTGATTAAATTGTTATTGATCGCCTTGGATCTAACTGAAAAAATGGAAAGTCGAAAAACATAAAGTTCGTGTAACTTAACGGAAGTTAATAACAAACTTTACAAGATCAAAAACTATTACCCTTGCCGGAAAGAAAGTAAATTGTTTAATCGTTGTTATAGCCGTACTCTTAAGGACTCTTCGGTCTTAAGGTCATTTGCGGCTTTCGCCTTAGCCGATCGGTCGTGACATGGTTCAAGATCAAGGTGGGAAAGCGCTAATGACCGTGAACGTGAACACGCCCTCTTGTTTTTAAGCGTTCCCCCTTTTTTTTATTTATCGGCGTTGATCTTACGGGATTGATACTATAGGAAACGGGTGAACAGCTACGCAAATGTATCCTAAGAGTTAAAATGATACCCGTATCGCCCAGTCTGTGTTATTACCCCGAGGAAAATCTTGTCCACTCACCTTTTCCATTTGGGTACCGTCCGGTTTGATTCGAGTGGGTTTAATGGTCAAATGTTTTAAAACGCCTTTATGCATTTATTTTCTTTTTTTAAATTGAACTCGGGGTAAAGAAACCTAAGACATGCGGCAAATGTTCTTGGGTGTCTTCCAAGCAAATGCCTTTAGAGGTTTTATTTTATAAAACGAAAAAATAAACGATAAAAGCGTGCCTCTAAACATGTTTCAATGATGTGTACATGGGATGACTAAGAAGAGGATACGAACGCGGGATCATCGATTTTAATCAGTCGGCTTTTCTTGTTTAGATCTAGTAGGAGAAAACGATATAGAGGATCATAATAAATAACAATAAATGACAATAATAAATGACAATAAATATATACAATTTCCCAAAAACCAAAAGACGCTTTCAGGTTAAAGAAATCGTTTAAAAAAAACCATTACGGATTCGTTTTAAGCACTCATTTTCATATCAAACAACAAATGTACATGTTTGGTTCGGATTTGTTTTCCTATGTTCGAAGTTCTACATAACAATGCCCAACTTCTATGGATTTTATCCAAATACGTTATGAAAACCATTGGAAAGATGGAAAGAAAAATTGTTCATCTTCAGTCTGACAACAACTTTACATGTTATCACTTATTGTACAAAAACACCACAAACATATTATTTTGTATCTGCGATTCTAATTTATTTACGGTGGCTTATGATATTGCATATAGTTTAGTAAATGACTGTAACGTTCTCGGAAGATCGGTGGAGCCATTTTAAAGTTAACATTTTTGTGAATTTTGGGGGGAAAACCTGATGCATTCCGAAGGCAAAAATACTAAGAAAAAAATATTTTTTGATTTTCCCAAAAAATTCTAAGATGGTGCAAAAACAAATGTCAACTTTGTTTCTTCCTAACAAAATATGTTCACTTTTTTTGCTAAGTAATCACTATGTCAAAATTGTATTTGGAAACTTGTCATAGCACGGGTTTCATTGATATTGAAATAAATAATTTACGACCGAGTTATGTAGCAATATGGCTAGGATATTTTATAAGCGGTTTTTGCAACTTATTGTATCTAAAATTGTAGAATGCAATATTTCATACTAGTTTCTTATTGTACAAAAAAATCCAAATCTATATTATACAATAACCTTGAAATATGTGCACAACGGTGATCCCGTCTAGTCTAAAATAAATAGAATTCCATACCAATTATTTAAATCAAACTCATTGATTTAATGACGTCTTTTGTTAAAATATGCAGTGTTATTCATATAATTTGATTTAATGAGCACTACTTTTAATTAAAAAAGAAGAAAAAAAATGTGACAAATGAAACATAAGAAGACCAATAAATTGTTGTGCTTTGAATATTATTCAGCACGTTCATACAGTTGAGAACTAATTTTTAAAAAAATGAAAGTTTATGATTAAATCATCCTCTATACAGATGGACAATGAACAGTTTTAAATCGTTATTGTATTTAAAAGGGCAATAACTATGTAGGTTTGAAATTCTGTATAATTATTAAGTTATAATTATTAAATTAATAATTAATATATTATTGGATATTATTAGTTAAAAGTATCATAAGAACATTTCAATCAAGTTCAGGTTATTTAATGCTTGAAGCAGGCTTTCCAATTTCCAAAACAGCAATATCTTGAGATTTTAAGTTTTAAGATGCAATTATGAGTACCTAATTTGTTTTTTAAAACAACATTCCTATATGATAGATGAGAATTGTGTTTCTGAATAAATAAAATATCATTTTTATTCTACAGCTAACGATTTAAATGTTTCAGGTTTATGGTCAATAATTTTTGGACTAGAGTTGAAAAATGGAACAAGTTTTGGCTCTTCTATCCTTCCAGCAAAGGAAAGAACTAGACGCCTAATCCCATACATGACGTTTTATATAGCAAATAATCAACAGTATAGGCCTGGAGTCCAGAACAAAGAGAGACCTTATGTTACTTATCAACAACAGCAATATGCCATCCCAGTTCTAGCACCACAGTATTCGACCAGGCCTGTAAGTTACTCTCCAAGATACGTGGTCCAGCAGCCTTCTCCTCTTACTAAAATGATAACCCAAAATTACCTGGCAATTACCAAGCAACCAGGAAATGCTCGACTTCAGACAAGACTTAATTTCTATCAGCCACAATACGTTAAAGATCCTCATTACAAACAACCAGCTGAGGAAGTGCCAGTCCAATATATCCAACAGACTCAACAGCAATTAGAAGAACCTGTACACCCTCATTTTAAAGAAGCGCCGGTACAGTACAAACAACTACAAGTTGTTCCACTGCAATACAAACCACAAACAACAGGAGAAAAATATCAATTCCAGGACCAAATCACTCAATACAAACCACAATTACAAGACCAGGTTGTACAGTACAAACAGTATGAGCCTGTAGAGTACAAACCTGAACCTAAAGTTCAGTATAAACCTGCACAACCTTCACCTTTCAAACCTTCACCACAGTATGATGAACCAGTTCAGCACCATCACCTTCCCCAATCTGATCAATATAGCACTCAACACATAGAAGACCAGTACCAACACCAATTGGTAAGTAATATAAAAGGAGACCTTCAACTTCAACCAGAAAGCTTGAAACCAGCTCCAAAACAAGTTTTTTTGGTACGTCCACAATACAGACCTCTGCCGACTCAGGATTCAGTAACAATAACTCAAAGTCAAGAGATTGACATAACTCCAGCACCTCCATCAAAATACCATTCCACTTATCAAGCTAAGCCACTATCAAGTTATCCGATAAGTTATCAACAGCATGACTTTCATAATGAAGAGTCTGAAGATGACAAACATTTCAACAGCCTACTTGAAGGTGTCTCACTTAGCCAGTCTCTACCAGAAAAAATTACCGCACAAAATTTAGATTCAAGTATTAAAACACTGGCCAAATTACTGAAGTTGTTACAAAGGGCGAATGCTTTACCACATTCAGCTAAAGAACTTGCGAGGACATTTCCAAAACCAGTTGAACCAGGGTATCCAACTAAGGTGAATAATCTATTAACTACTACTTAAAGAAAAAAAATCTAATTCTTTTATGTTTAGCTCAAAAAGAAACTTCCACCTAAAGATGATAAAGGAAGTACTCCTGGACAGGCAGGAGTCGACTACCCCGCTTATGATGAAATTCCACATACTTCTTTCAGTTGTAAAACCCAACGTTACAAAGGATTCTTTGGTGATCCTGAAACTGGCTGCCAGGTAATACAATAATCACACAAAAATCCAATATACCAATTTTAATTTACTATAAAAATAATTTTATCTGATAACTGTAACAGGTGTGGCATTACTGTGATCTGAACGGAGGCCAGGCTTCATTCCTGTGTCCAAATGGAACGATATTCTCACAAGTTGCTTTAACGTGTGACTGGTGGTTTAATGTAAAATGTGAATCGACCACTCAGCTTTATGTTTTGAACGAAAGGCTTTACAAGTATATTTTGCCCCATAAACCAAAATTCCCAGAAGATTACTCAGGCCCACTGGTTGATCATTATCTCTCACTTAAATTTGATGAAATAGAAGAAAAAGTAAGATTTTGAATAAAAAATTTAACCGTGTGAACAGAAATGATTGTTAACATTTTAAATTGGAATTTCAGAACAGGAATAAAACACTGAACGCTAGCGGAGAAAAAACATCTGATGAATCAGAAGAACAAGAAGAAGAACTACCATTTTCTTTGGACATAACTTCGGAAAACAAAGTGCGATCTGTTTCAAAGTAATAATTTATGAAACAAATTTAAATTATGAAACCTGTGATGAGACTGGATGAAAATTTACAATGTGTACTTTTATGTAAATGTAGTTGTTTCTTTTTATTTTTGTAACTTTAGTGGCATCGTATTTTAAAATTCAGATGTTTTAAGGCAAATTTTCTTAGGTACTGCTAGTCAGTTTATTCCAATTAAAAATGGTCTGGAAAGAAACTAGCAAGCTTATATGCTCAAATATATTAGTTTGAGAGTGCCAATGATTACAAGCCATATCAATATCCTACAAATGATGTAGATTTACTATTAGTGAAGCCACAAAATTGTAAATAAATATAAAATCAGTAATTGGAAGCAAGAATGTAAAGTCATACTGAATGTTCAATACACGAATACCGTGCCAAATCTTTTATAATGGCACAAAATCTTGCTGTTTCCACCCTTAAAAATAATGATGAATGAATAATAATGAATTTTCTCCATTAGGTTTTTTTATTGTTTAAACATTGCATTGTAGCTTTCCTACAAACAAGTTTTACTTTTTACTTATTTAATTTATTATTTTTAATTCTTAGATTTTTAATTTTTTTAATGTATAACAGAAAATTAGATGGCCAAATAATGTTAGCGCCATTAAAAAAAAAAGACAAAAAAATTGCCTACTTATCTCTCTGCATTAGCTATATAATATAAAAAGTTGTACATAAAATGAATGTATTTATTTTAATTTTCGACTGTTAAAAAAATAAATAAAAATAATTGTGTTTTTCAATGAAAATGTTTCCTACCTTTTTTGCGAGCTTGAGCCTAGTGTGAACATCGGCAACTTTTACATATGAGCTGATTAATTCTTCCCGACACTTCTTATTCTGAAAAAAAAAATTTTTTTAGTAGAGTTCTTTTAGACAAGAAAAAATTTAAAGAAAAGCATCTACCTTTTCAGCTAACTCCTGCATGTCACTGTGGCCATTGTGATGCGCGAGCAAGCAACGCGAACATGCTGCGACATTGCATTGTCCACAGTGAAATTCAAAATTTTGTGCATGTTCATTGCAAACATTTAACTGATTTTCCAATGCTGACAAACATGATATTGACGAAATCGGAACTCCAATGTGATCTTTTAACGCTTTAGCGGCTGAATGAACCTAAACCAAAATGAACATGTAAAATTAACTAACAAAACATTGGAAAAACATACTCACGCTTTTATAGCAAGAGTCACAATAAGGAACTGAACACTGTGTACACTGAATAATAGCAGTTAAAGAGCATTCATTGCAATTAACTAAAAAAATAAAAAATAAATTAGACATAATTTCATTATTCATTTTATAATAAAATACTAATTTAAAATAAATACCAGCTTGTTTTTTCATCTGTTCTTGCTTTTGAGGTTGATTGAATGAAATCTGCTCATCGCCTTTGAAAGGCTGCGGATTGGCTTTATTAAACCAAACACCACACAAGTAATGATTTACTGGAAAATATTCCTTCATTTGTGCCTGTGTTAAACTGGAAAAACAAATTCGAATATGTTCATTGATATATTTATAAATTTAAGTATATTTTAATAATTACCCAGTTGGGACTATTGATACCGTCTTGCAAGTCAGACAAGTTATACTGGCTTTTTTGGTAAGTTCTCTGGTAACACAATTTTCACAAACTGAGTGGGCACAGTGCAAAAGAAGTGGTATCCTTAAAGGTTTCGCCAACTGATAACCTAAATCACACAATTTTTTTTTCACAGTAATGTTATGACTCGTACATTCTAATTTCGTTTGGATTGTTCAAGGTTTTGATTGCAGAGCATTAGAATAGTAAACATAACAATCCACTGTTTATTCACCTTTTAATTCTTTCGGCTTTATTTTAAATGGATTAAATTCTAAATATGTAAATGCTTGCCAAATTTGGATAAACATTTTTCACCATATAAACAATTATGTGTGGCGACGAAATAAACCAAAATAGAGCAGAGAAAGAAAGCCTTCTCCAAAGCCAATTTTAAATAAAAATTGAACAAACAAACATATTATTAGAACTAATTTTTAATTTCCATAAAAGAAAAAAATGTTTGAAAATTGTTTAGTAAAAACATTATATCACTTCATTATGTATTATGGTTAAATATTAAATGTACTAGAATTTATAATTATAACAGTATTAATATTGGCCAAATATGGAAAATGTCAGCCAAATGACCATAACTGTAAGACTGACTGTTAACGGTTAGTCTGTTCAAGTTATGGAAAAATTAAAGGACCACTATGATGGAAGGAACAAGGAAATATTGGTATCTAGAACATATCAACTTATTGATATTGTTTTGGTTGTAATGTACTGAAAACGATATGTATCCAGTTCAGACCCAATGGGATGGGTTCTTTGATTAAAAAGTGTTGAAAAACAGAAAAAACACTACTGTTGGTAGTTGAATTCTAAAGTTAAAATAAGTTCTATTTTGAAAATAGAACAACCCACATTTTAGAGACTTAAACTGTAGATTTTTTATTGTTTAGTAACAGCAGGATGATCAACAATCAACCGTGCTCAAACTATTCGTAGAAAATACCATACATAAACTGTGATCAATCCCAGGTAAGAAATGATGGGTTATTTGCTTAAATGTCCATCGATAAACAAAATAAACATTAGACAATTGGCAGTTGTATTGTAGAGTTAATATTTAGGTATTTCATGAACAAAGGACTACCAAAAGTTAGATTTAGGGCGAATTAAACGGTGGAATGTACAATGTTTCCTAATGTCTAATTACAGCAGGATCAACAACGTTATTGTATCAGCTCATTGTAAAACAAAACGACCCAAAATTTAGAAAGAATTAAATGGCGAAAAGTCACGTTTTTTCCAATTATCAAAAAACAGCAAGATGATCAACTATGCTTCAACTATCAACTGTGGTTCAGTTATATGTTGATTTTTGTCACTGGCATTTTTTTTTTTTTTTTTTAATTTGTTCAACAAACAAAACGTGAGTGTACTGCTCATGCTGTGAACTATGGTGAGTTGTCAACAACCATCTATATCATCCACATCCAACAGGTAAGAAATGACCAGAGAAAACGCTACATTGGTGAAGTTCTATTGTTGGGTTAATGTTAGGCCTATTTTGAAAGTTGAACTATCCACAATTTAGGAAGAGCTAAATGGAAGAAACTACAATTTGACTCATTTGTTTAAAACCAGCAGAGGACGAACAAGCTCGAATTATCACTTTATTTTTGTTATGCTTGAAACAACTATGCTCATTCTGTGAATTATCATGAGTTGTGAACACAACCCCTTAACCATCGTACGCCCAAACAGACAACAACGATGACTTGTCTACAACAATCTAAGTCATCATCCTCATCCAACAAGTAAGAAATGATGGGTTATTTGCTTAAAAAGTGTTGAAAAACAGAGAAAACGCTAGCCTGTTGGTGGTTGTATTGTTGTGTAAATGTAAGGCCTAAATTGGACTATCCCGAACTTATGATGAATTAAATGACGGAAACTACAATTTTTCTCAATTGTTTAAAAACAGCAGATCTAAACTATGTGGTGGTTGTATTGTTGGGTTAATGTAAGGCCTAAATTGGACTATCCAGAACTTATGATGAATTAAATGACGGAAACTACAATTTTTCTCAATTGTTTAAAAACAGCAGATCTAAACTATGCTTGTACTATCAACTTTGAGTTGGGTTAATGTAAGGCCTAAATTGGACTATCCAGAACTTATGATGAATTAAATAACGGAAACTACAATCATGCTCAAAACAATATGTGGGTTTAACTATGTTCATACTGTGTACTAACATATTTTTTTTACATATTTTTTTTACAACCTAACATATTTTTTTTACAACCTCCTAACCATCCCTGTAATCAAACAGACAACCACGATGACTTGCCTACAATCTATATCATCTTCCTCATCAAGCAAATACGGGGTTGTTCACTTAAAAAAGTATCGAAAAACAGAAAACAATAGACTTTTGGTTGTTGTATTGTTGGGTTAATGTAAGGCCTACTTTGAAAGTTGGACTATCCACAATTTAGGAAGAGTTGAATGGAAGAAACTACAATTTGACTCATTTGTTTAAAACCAGCAGAGGACGAACAAGCTCGAATTATCACTTTATTTTTGTTATGCTCGAAACAACTATGCTTATTCTGTGAATTATCATGAGTTGTGAACACAACCCCTTAACCATCGTACGCCCAAACAGACAACAACGATGACTTGTCTACAACAATCTAAGTCATCATCCTCATCCAACAAGTAAGAAATGATGGGTTATTTGCTTAAAAAGTGTTGAAAAACAGAGAAAACGCTAGCCTGTTGGTGGTTGTATTGTTGTGTAAATGTAAGGCCTAAATTGGACTATCCCGAACTTATGATGAATTAAATGACGGAAACTACAATTTTTCTCAATTGTTTAAAAACAGCAGATCTAAACTATGATTGTACTATCAACTTTGATTTAATTATCAGTTTATTTTTGTCTCTATTTTTTTTGTGTTATACATGCTCAAAACAATATGTGGTTTTAACTATGTTCATACTGTGTACTAACATATTTTTTTTACAACCCCCTAACCATCCCTGTACCCAAACAGACAACCACGATGACTTGCCTACAATCTATATCATCTTCCTCATCAAGCAAATACGGGGTTGTTCACTTAAAAAAGTATCGAAAAACAGAAAACAATAGACTTTTGGTGGTTGTATTGTTGGGTTAATGTAAGGCCTACATTGAAAGTTGGACTATCCACAATTTAGGAAGAGTTGAATGGAAGAAACTACAATTTTTCTCTATCGTTTAAATACAGCAAATAGCCAACTATGCTTGGACTATCGACTGTGATTCAGTGAAAAAGTGCTTTATCGAATCCAAAACAACTTCGCTGGCATTGTTTTGTTTGTTATTTCACAGAAACAACACAATGTGTAAATCATGATCCATCGTAGGTAAGAAAAGTTAAAAAATTTCTGGAAAGATCTCGATTTAATATGCAGTGTTTATAGTGTTATTGAGGTTTTATGTTGGAAACAGGATTTATGATGTTGGTTAGTGGAAATCCTTATTATGTTTACAAAGAATGTCATCAAATGTCTGACAATGTAATGTTAGAATAACAATCAAAACAGGCATGAACGTCGCACTTGAGCGAAGTTGGTAAAAGTAAATCTCAACATCTCACCGTTGACGGAAAACTCGAGCGAGCAGTTGGCACAGGCTGGCAGCTTGAGCTTTTTCGAGCTTTCCATTTTGGTGAAAAGCTTTTATGAAACCAGTCGGCCGTTATTTCAACCGTCTCGCCTTTAGTCGGACTCCGGAGTTCAAATCGTGTACGAGGACGATAACAAACCGATGTGCAGAACGTGAGCGCACTCTGGACCACTGATAAACGTCCCTTTCAACTATTATTTCTGGCGCTTTCCCGTTTTCGAACAAAAGTTTTATTTTTTATACCCTATAAAGTCCTTTTTTCGGCCCCGTTTCAAAAATTATTGTTTCAATTGTGGTGGTGCGCAACTTTTGAACTGTTAACTGTAAAAAGATATGCAAGACTTCAGCAGGTGAGTCACAACAAAAAATCCCACATGTTTTTGTACTTATCAAGAAACAATACAGTTTTTAATTTTTTCAAATACAATGGACACGATTAACACGATGAAACAAAACTAAACAATCGTATATTCCCTCGGACAACACAATTGATAAACTTTGTATGCGATGACATATCAATTACTTTCTATTTCTTTCGGCCTTAGTACGACCACAATTCTGAACCATTTGATACTTTCTTGGAAGATAAATGTTCCTCTGATCCATTGAAGCTGGTTTAATGTTATGCTTTTTATTTTTAATGTAGATATCTAACATAGGTAAAGCTTTAAAGTCTATTGCATCTTCTCTCCCAATTTAAGCAGGTATCCCCCAAGGCTACATCCTTGGATCTTTACTCTTTTCTGTGTTCCCTAATGATCTTCCATTAGTTCTTATTTTCTTCCAATTCCCTCTATATGGTGATGAAATAAAAAAGGATTGAATTGAGAGAGGTTAGGGAGATTATTAAAAATTAGGGGAAGGAGAATAATGCTTATTTATTTCGGGTTTGACAGATTTGTATAAGTATATATATATATATTCCGAATAGATGAATATACATATATATTCTGGCTGGAGGGAACAATACAAAAGTTGCTTTTTCCGCCAGAACTCAATTCCTAGTTTATGATGGAAAGGGGGATCCAGCCTACGAAACAGTTTATTTTTTTCAACTCCAACGTCCAACTCCCAAGAGACATTTCACTTTCCTTTTTAATGCTGAATAAACTCAAAAAGCCAATTTTAAATAAAAATTGAACAAACAAGTATATTATTAGAGCTAATTTTTAATTTCTATAAAAGAAAAAAAGTGTGTGGTGATTAGTGACCATTAATCGATATTTATTTAGAAATCATGATATGCGGTCTGGTGTGATGTAGGTTTCAGAAAAACATTTTCTTTATCGTGCCAACGTTTCGATCTTTATTGAGATCATCTTCAGGGCTCAAAGTGTTTGTCTTCTGTGTAATTGTGCCATTCACACAGAAGGCAAACACTTTGAGTCCTGAAGATGATCTCAATAAAGATCGAAACGTTGGCACGATAAAGAAAATGTTTTTCTGAAACCTACATCACTCCAGACCACATCTCACGATTTCTATAAAAAAAAAAAAATAAATAAATAAATAAATAAAAAAAAGAATATTTAAAAATTGCCTGGTAAAAAACCATTAAATTGTATCACTTCATTATTTTTTATAGTTAACTATTAAACATACTAAACTTGCATATTGTCCAAATATGCAGAATGTCAGCCAAATGACCATTACAGTCTTGTAACAGTAAGATCATCAACTGTGCAAGTTATGTAAAAAGTAAAGGACCTCTGAGATTCAAGGAACAAGGTATATTGGTAAAATTAGGAGAAGGAGAATAATTCTTATTTATTTAGGTTTAACAGATTTATATAAAACATGGGGGTTAGCTGAGAGTTGTTCAATATACTTCTTATGTAAATTATGAACGCTTACTTTGTCTCTGCTGTCTGGTGGGAGCAACACAAGAGCTGCTTTTTCTGCCAGAACTCAATTCCTAGTTTGTGGCGGGAAGGATCGTAGGGATCCAGCCTATGAAACAGTTTATTTTTTTAATCTCCAACGTTCAACTCCCAAGAGACTTTCCTTTTTCATGCAGAATAAAAATCTCTTCTACAACCCCGTTTTCTCCCTTTAAGGCCAGAAATTCCTGGCAGAAGGGCCATTCATGGCTGATAACAGTTTTAAGAAGAGGGAAACAAACTATGTACAAGCATAGGTACTCTAAATAACAGCATTTATTATTTCACTAATACCATTAAACAGAATACCAAGCCTATTTCATTATATTTAGCTTTAAGAACTCTGAATCCAGTTTTCGTTGCCTAGGTAAAACATGGAAAGAAAGCTCGTCTCGGAAACAGAGGGGTTAGTGGTGGCCACAATGGTTAAGGCATTGACGCAGCGCTCAATGTTGTAGGGTAAATTCCCAGTTTCGAATCCAGCGGCTCTGCATTCAAACCCATCAAGCTTACAAATGGGCTTTCTTTTTTTCTTAAAAAACACTAGCACCGTGAGGGTTGGTATAATCTCTGCTGTTGCAACCCCTCATAAAAAAATAAATAAAATCTCCAAAGAATCTAGTTACTCCAGTTCAAAATCCTTTGAACAATATATATAAACAGATATTAGAATCTACAGACATGCTTAATGACTCCACTTATTTTAAACAAGGTTCTTCTATTATTAAGTTTATAATATAAATAAAAAAATAAAAAAATGCTTGAGCCTTATGTTTTAAAAGTAATTTTTATTTCTATTGTACAATAATAGACCGTGAACATTCTTTGTTCTAACAATATAATTATGATTTGGTCATGTGAGTTTTCATATTTTGTCAATTGTTGCAGTTGCTTTTGAATTGCTTATTTTTTGAAAAGTTTTTATTAGTGATTCTTATTTTTATCGTTTGTAAGAAGTCATCTATTAAATGTGTGTTTGCCAGTATGATCTCAAGAACAATGCTGATTATGTTTCAAAATTAACCTGATATTGTTGGCTCAAGCAACCACACAAGTTGTACGAGGTTGACCAGTAGACCAATAAGATTTAAAATTATCTATCATCCGTTATCATACATTTGTTTCATAAATTTGTATTCATTTGTAAAATAATATCATTTAATGAAGTAATAAAAATAAATATTTATGATATAAATTACAACTTATTTACACTAATAAACAATTATGTCGCTTCTTTGGACTTAAATTTATTTTTAATCATGTTAACTAATTATCTTCTTGGCAGTTGGTCTGATCGGTTCTGATGAAAAAAGCTCTGCTAATAAAGTTTTTGTCTATAGTTCTATATGCGTTTTCCATAGTTTCAATAGAAGGATTTCGCTCCCTCGTTAAAATCCAAGCATTCCCTGAAATAAATACAATTTAACTATGAAGGAAAAAATTACAGGAAAATTAGTTTTACTGGTGCTTAAAATTCCAAAATCACTGCAGGACCACACCACAGAATAGTTGACATAGTCAGTATCCAAAACCCAATAAGGAGCATCGCCTGAAAAAATGTTGATTTCAATAACAACTTATGTTCAAAAAAATCCCATAAAAAGTAATTATAAGTTAATTACCAGGAAGGTATGGAAATTTAATAACCATTTTTGCTGGAAAGTATGTTTTTTCTGCTTTTATAACTTCACCTTGAACCTTTGAAACAGTTCCTGTTCTAAAATTAATTTTAAATGTTAAAAACAGGCAAAAATGAATATGAAATATATAGTTGATAAATAATAATTGTAATAGTTACAGTGAACTTGTCTGTTGGTGAATCAATTTGATCGACACATTGGCTCCATCTGTATAGTTACTGTTTACACATCTTCCCCCGAATTCAGAAATATCAAAATATCTTTCGGCTTCGTACCACTTACCCATGTACTAAAGATAGTTTAAATCATCATTTATTTATTTCAAGTATTATCAGAAATATATTGTAAAACAGATAAAATTGTTACAAACCTGAGAAACGTCAAAATTCTCCATAGTTTTCATTTCTGGACATGGCCCGAGGAAAGGTACTTGGGCATGTGTGAGTACCAAAATGGAACTCAGTATAATTAATAGCTGCATCTTTTTCTAAAATATATTTGTTCTTCTATTAACACATATAGCGTTCAATATAATAAGAAAAAGTAATAAGACTATAACATAAACGCATATGAAGGTATCATAATTAATTAAAAAAATGTTAAAGTACTAATTAACTATACCATTAAAAACCTAAAGTTTGTTGGACCCTAAACTACATTCTAAATTTAGAAAAGGAAAACAACTTTCAGTCCTGGTTATAATTTTTAATTTCAAATGATAAAAAACATAGTAAATTGTCAAGCACAGATGTAGGATTTTGTTGGTTTATCTAAAAGCTGGACATCTTGATCGCTCCTTTTGACATTTTAAAATTATTTTTTATTAAGCCTGTTTATTGAATCTTGCTGATGCTTTTATTAATTTTTTATTTTATTTTTAATTATTTATTCCTTTATTCCTTTAAGAGCAGTCTCAACAAAAACTGTTTTTCCTTGGGAAATCGATTTTTTTTTCTTCTTTCAGTATTGAGCTGATTGGCCAATGGGAAATCGATGTTATTTGAAGAAATTGTTGATAAGTTTTTCTATCGGTGAACCATAGGAATTAACTTACTATAAATTAAAATGATAAATAAACAAATTGGATTTTGGTTGAAGAAATTGCAAAGATTTCGTTTTCTCGGAAAAAAAATGTTCAGGAATAGTTTTTTTTTGCAAATATCTTGAGAAATGTGTGGTGTTTAGTGACCGTTCATTAATGATTATTCGGAGATTGTGCGATGCGGTCTGGTGCGACGTAGGTTTTAGAAAAACATTTTCTTTATCGAGCCAACGTTTCGATCTTTATTGAGATCATCTTCAGGGTTCAAAGTGTTTGTGTACTGCGAAATCGTGTCATTATGTGACAAGTGAGTAGGCACTCTCAACACGACACACATGAATGTCACAATTAAGCAGAAAACAAACACTTTAAGCCCAGAAGATGATCTCAATAAAGATCGAAACGTTGGCACGATAAAGAAAATGTTTTTCTAAAACCTACGTCACACCAGACCGCATCTCACGATCTCCGAATAATTATCTTGAGAAAGTTGGTACAAACTAAAAACCGTTTGCACCGTTAAATTCATCCACAAAAAACCTTAAAAAACGTACATTTATGAGTATCTTGCTATTTGAAATAATTAAGCCCTTCTCGTATCCCGTTAGCTTGAAATGGTAGATCATTACTTTTTGGCCGATAAGAAACTAGACAAAAAAATAAAAGTTTATTTGTCCGGGTTTTAGACAAAAAAATAGAAAACAGAAGTTAAACTCGCCCTGTATATTAACAAACATCGAGTTATAAAAGCCATAAGTTTTAATTACAAAAACTCTTGACCGTAGCCAATTTATTAATGTTTGTTATTAGTATTTATTAACTTAAATTTTTTTTACCAATGTCAATTTATAATCAATTTATTGTAGAAAGCTTATCCTGGATGATTTACAGTACGTTTTGCATTAAAATCGCCTCCTCGACTTTCCTTCATGCCAACAATAAAATCTCATGGCATACGTCACGCCTCAAAACCAGTACTGAACTTTTTTCTTTGCACATACAATGAACACTATTAATATTAATGAACTCGTGTAAAAAGGACAGCATTTAACTTTTGGGAGAGTGGTGGACTACTTAACACTTTAATCTGAAGTGAAAAGGAATCGTTCAGCAACCGGACGAACTTTCTTTTCCAAGAAATATTTTTTACAAAAAATATTCAACCTTATTTCTAGAGTAACCAATCGATAAAATTTATTATTTATTCGTGGCCTGCGGTGACTTAATTCTTTTGGTTTTTAAAAGGTGAGAAATATAACTGTTTTCGTATCATCTTGTCCACTTTCTAATATTTGGTTTATTTTGTTTGGTCAAAAAATGTAATTATGGTTTTGTTACTCTTGGCTATCTATTCCTAGATCAACCGATAGAGTACTGGTGTCAAACACTCGAGCTTCAAGCACGTGAGCTTTAATAGGTAGCTGGTGAATCAGGACTTGACAAAGATTAATGAGCCTTGTGGTCAACTCGTTTTCTTGTTCATAAAACTGTGCCTGTATTGAATAAACAATTTATTTTCTTTAAAATAAACTTCCATTCTGACAAAGATAGCAAACCATTTGGTTCATTCTGACACTGTTTTTCTTCGGTAAAGTTTTCTAGAATTTGAAATATTTGACAGATGCACACAATAATACCTTAATAGAATATTTACGGTATAGAATTATCAATCGTCTTCAAAATTTGATAGGGATTTGAATAAATGTGTATATTTCTTGAATAGCTAAGATTTCTTGAGCAACTGTTTAATCAATCAATCTTGAGGGTACATTTTCAGTTTATTGTAAATTGAAATTACTTAACTTCTCTAGTTACATAATTCCAACATTATCTGTAAAATCACAAATTTAATTGTTATGATATATAACGTAACATGGATTAATAGCATCAAAAATCAACGCCTGGCTAATCTTTTAAGAATTTCAAAAAATCACGTTTACCTAATTAAAAAAACTTAATTGGTGAAGTTTGATAAAGGCCGGGTTCGTTGTTATTTACCTGTGAGATGTTCCAACTCTCTTGAAACTGCAATGAACGTTTGCACGTTTTCGCTGAAAGTCAAGACTGAAGTGAGTACAAACGAGAGGGGTGACCAAGTCCCGGTGAACTTCAGGTTTGAACGGTTTCTAGGTCAACCTCTCTCTTTATCTCTCTTTCTCTTCTATCTTTCCACTTCCAGTTTAGACATCTCTTTCTATTTGCATAACGAAACGGGAGAAAAGGCAGGCCAGTGGACAAAAAAAAAAAATCCAAGCTGGTGCACTTTCGCGTATCTGGCAGAAAGAACGCCGAAGTTTATCGACACTTAACTATTTCTGGCTTCAATGTTCTGTTTTATGCCAATACAAATACTACATATAAATAAATTGTTGCCGCTTTTTGGGAACAGTAGAAAATTAGTTTACACAAAGTAACATATAATATTATGTATGCATAATACGTTTTATGCAAAGTAAAATTACGCATAATAAATACTTATTCAATTGGGAATGTAAGTTCATTATTACTATAAAAAATATAGTTCATAATTGTTGTAAAAAATCTTCATTAGCCAGATAATTATTGCATTTGACAAGTTTTAAAATTTATATATTACATATCGAGTTGTTCTTGCTCTCTACCTTGCGAGGTGTTCTTTTTAATAATCATTATTGTTAATATTTTTGTTTTGTTTTTTCCGAGCTGTTTTGGAGAAGCTGACAGACCAAAACAGCAAGGATGGTCAGATCAAAATGATCTGAAACAGTTAAAATATAATTTCATCACCCCGTTTACCCCATGAAGAAATCTCGCAGTAGTAAATATTGTTAATTTAAAAAAAAAGGAAAAACTTCTTATGTGAAGTTGTATTGATATTTGAGTCAGTGGTATTGCTAAATTGTTCATTTGTTCATCTTGATTATTGTTTAGAGACAACAGAAATTATACGGACCCAAAAACGACCAGAACGCAAGAAAGTTGGTATTAAGCTTTAAATCCAGAAAAAACATACTCATTTGTATTTACTGGTGATAAAATTGTAGATTTTTGATTTCTGACTGTCTGTAAATCGATAGCAAACAAGTTTTAAATATTTTTTTTTCGTTCTAGAGTTCAAGTGGCATAATTTCCTAAATCTTCTTAATACATTCTTATATTGAACTATGACTTATACATGTATTTAGAATTATTAATTTTATATACAATGGTTAATTATTTTCAATGAAATCTTCATGAAGTAATGAGGGCTGAGCCTGGTTTGTTTGGCAAGTGGAAAATGTGCTAGCTGGTCATTACGGTCCTTCCATTCTCGTTGTAGTTCTGTAACGCATCTTTCTTGGTTAAGCCGTCAAATGTAGCGAGGGCAGGCGGACCAGGATGAAAGAGTGTAGTTTTGCTAACTTAATATATGACTTTGGGAGAAGTTGAAAAAAAACCTTGTTTACTTTTAGGACATTTTTCTTTTTAATTTCTAAATTATAGTAAAACTTACAAATAAATAAACCTAACCGTTCTATTAAAGCTTATTTGTTTTGCGCGAGGTCCGGGTAGTGGATTCAGTTCTGCTGTTCGACGACATTGGCAACAGGGGCAGTGACTGCGGGCTTTTTCTGTTCCTGGACGAGCGGTTTCGCTTCTTCGGCCATGACGGCGACTTCCGGATGAGCCGAGGGCGAAGGGACGGGCTTGGGTTCCGGCTGGGCAGAGGGCGAAGGGACGGGGTTGGCCTCGGGGGAGGCTTCGGGTTTGGCAACGGGGGTGGGTTCAGGGCTGGCTTCAGGGTCGGCGGTCTTGGTCTTCAGTGGTGGGCCGAGGGGTTCACCGAGGTTGCATTCTTCTTGTTCGGCCCGTACGAAGAAGGTTCTGGAGATCTTGTGCTTGTCCAAGACTCCGTAGGCCTTCTGAAGGACTGTTCCAGGAGGAAGCCTGTCACGGGTCATGACCCATGCGGATTCTGCAAAACAAAAAATTTTTTACTTAATAAAGTCTACTCTGGAGGTCTGTGGGATGACTGTAATGTGGTCGTTTCCAATTATTTTGATACACCTATTATAACTATTGTTCGAGCCACGACTGAAGATATTATCTGACCGCCAAAATAGCAAAGACGGTCGGAAAAAACTTATAAAAAACGGTCAAACTACAAAGTTAAATATGCTAGCTCGTATGTCTAATTTTAATTTGGAACCGTAAACATTTCTAGAAATCACATATCTCTTGGAAATTATCTAATTTCTAAAATTCTAAAAATTTTGTTTAAACTCAGAGTTAAGTATAATCACAGACAATCTTCTGTGCTTCCTACTAAACCCATGAGAATATGAGAAGCCTCAGCATTTTTATAAGGTGTAAAAAAACTTATTAAATCTATTTAAAACCAATTTTTATATTTAATTTTTTAATAATAAAAATAGTTTGGACTTACGTGTATTAACAAGTGGCCCAATTCCTGAGCAGGACCAGACGACAGAGTAGCTGTCGTAGTCAGTGTCAAGGATACTATATTCAGTTTCCATAGGGACTAAAAAAAGTTCAAGATTATTATAAAAAGTTAAATTGTAAACTTGTTAAATTGTGTTAACGTTACTAACAAGGAAGGGTCGAGTATTTGACGCTGATCTTGGAGTCAAGTCCTCCTTTTGGAACGTTTCTGATCTCTCCGTCCAAAACACGCTTAATTCCAGTACTGAAAATACGTATTTATTATATATCTAGTATTTGTATTTATATAAACAATAAAAATAAGTTTTATTTACATTCTATTGGTGATTTCGTTAGTGACGAGAATCCTGCCGTCGGCGGCTTTTGTGTAATTAGTCCTGGCGCATCTGCTGCCTGCTTCTAATACAGTAAAGTACCTCTCGGCTTCGTACCAGGTACCCATGTACTATAAAAGACAGAAAAAAAGGTTAATTACAATATAAAACAAAATAACGATCAAAGCCTACTCACTCTGTCGATGTCGAAACCCGCCATCGCCCTTTTGTCAGGGCACCAACCGATACCAGGGATCTGAGCCTTGACGAGGCTCGCCATTAGGCATACCACAGCTAACGTCACCTGCGTTTTCATCCTGAAATACAAAAACGAATAAAACATTGGGAAATAATTCGTCGAGTTCAATGAACTTTTGGTCTTTAAAAGGCGTAGCGAATGCAAAACCGTCACGACATGGAAAAGCGTTCTGGTTTAGCATTTACGCCTGAGTAACCGGTAACTTTTAGTACTTTAATAACCCTTACTTTCCTAATACACATTAACCGTCATATCGCTTAATCACTTCCGACTTTCCAATACGCGACGATAAGGGCTTTTGAAAAAGTCCATGGGGGTGTTCGTTCACCTGACCTTAATTGACCCGAGTGTCAAAAATTAAGGTATTGGAAAAAGACAGGGGTTTTCGTGTTCAAACATATACAATAGATAATTTAACTTACAAATATGAATGTGATATGGAAAATAATAAATAATACTTTCCACTAAAATATATCAAACTCCAAACAGTTTCATGCTGACGCGAGTTCCTCACTGAAGATGGCGCAATGCCGAAACGCGTTCGAATAGTTCAACAAACCCGCGAGTGAAAACGGACCCAATAAGTGAATTCAATACCGGTTCAGCACGAGTTCACCGACTCGCAGACGAACACCCAGCATCAACAACAAACAGTTGGTTCTATTGAAAAGTAGAATCACAAATGTGTACAAATAAATGACAAAGTATTGGCATTAGAATTTAAGATCCAAAGATCTATTTAAAAAATTATATTAATTCGTATTTTTCAAAAATATTGTCCCTTAGACAATGAAACTTAGGTTTCACACTGTACTTTAAAACTTAACGAAATAGCCTCAATTCAATTTGAGTTAAGTACATACTATTGTACAATTCAATTGTTTAGATAGGTTAAAAAAACACTAATATGGCATTGATGTTTCAAACTTAACTAAAAATATTTTAACGTGTTCCCCAAATATTTATTCAATAAATTAGAAAAAGGGCAGAGAGCATATGCGAAATATAATTTATAAACATTTAAACAGGATATTATTTTTGTTTGAACCAACATTTCAAGATTGAGGATTTTACCAAGAATTTTTAATTTTTCTGGACAAATATTGTATGATGAAATAATTCAGAAGATTAGTTACCAAGCTAAACAATAAGTTACGTAAAAAATAAGTACCTCAGCAAAATATTCCAATACACGCTGATTAATTACAACTAGTAATCTTGATAAAAACTGGGGTTTTAATAAAAAGTAAAATTTGAAATAAACTTATGATAAAACGAATAGAAAAATTTTTGTCTTATGTCATTTACTTTATAAAAAGAAGAAGTTTCTTTTGGTTCTTACAAGAATTCTTTAACACTCACTAAACTGCTTTTAAATTTGAATGAAGATTTTTATGATTTGTTTGATTGGGATTATTTAAAAATATACCTTAAACATTCAAAATACTCAACTAATTACAGATGGGCTTGGCATATTTGAAATTTTATCAAAATATGAACCCCTAAGAAGATAAATGTGTGCTTGTAAGTTTTGGCTTTATGCACCATTTCTCAGATTATTTAAAAACCAAATTCTTCCAAAAATGTTCTTTTTTTGTTATTACACTCTTACAAACACGTCGTTCATATTTAAACATATTTCTTTATTTGAAATAAAAGAAAAAAATCTTTGCTGTGCATTTTAACAAGAATGAGCTTTGGCTAAACATACTTACGCTGATGCTATAGATTTTTGGTAGTTTGAAGAAATATACATTTTTTAACAAATTTTTGGTTGTGTTTAGGTAAAAATAATTTTAACTCGACCACAATTTGTTAATTCTAGATGTTGATGAGGGATGTGGTAAAAAAATTGAAAAAAAGGACCACATCCCTGATTCACATCTAGAATTTAAAGTCTTTAAAGCCGTATGGCTTATTATTACTTATATGATCATAATGTCAATTTGATAGTAGTTTTCATTTATTTGAACTTAATTTGACAATAGTCAAATAATTTTGTTCTGTTTTTCATTTAGTTGCAAAGTTTTTGTTGGTTGAATAGGAAAAAACAATACTTCGGTTGTACTGTTTACCTTCGTTGTGATATTTAGTTTCTAACATTACCGGTACATAGTTATTTTGACGACAAGCGTTGAATGACATGTTAATTGTTGTTACAATTTCCCCCCGGATCTTCTAGTTTTGATTTTCCATGTGTGTGTTGAATTTAAGCTAGAATCGTGCTGAAATCGTATGTACTTACGTGTCTGAGGTCGGATTCGGTCTGCCGGATGGGCCCCTTGGGTATGGCTTTTATAGACTATACCTACCCTCTCCTCTACAGGAGGCGCTCTCGCGTCCTCCCTAGATTCCTCGGGCATCGGGTTTTCATAAGTGTTCAAACGCGGGATTTCTGCGAATTTGCCGTGAGAAACTCGTCCGAGACAAATTTCATCGAACGATTAGTTATAAAGTTTCAAAATTGGGATAAATTGTTCAAAGAAGCCTGCGGCCCAAAAACAGGAAAAGATCGTTCTCATTGCCTAGCTTCAAAAGGATTCAACGAAGTTATTTACATGTTTATCATAGTAAAATATCTGACAAATTTATTTAGGTAAATGAAGATAAAGAAAGTTGAATAATATGAAGTCTTACAATGTAAACGATTTATTTTTCTAAGAATGTTAACATGTCTTCGGAGAATTCACAATTCGTAAAGTATCACAGTATATTACCTACAATTCTTAAAAGAGTATGCAATAGTAAATTACAATTTTTAGTTTTTATATCGATATATTTACAAACAATTATACAACCTAATAATACAAATTCGTAAAATTTCGTACTTCTTGTTGAATACAAGGTGAAAATCTTCCAGAGGAGCAGAAAATCTTTGTTTTGATTATCACTAACTTTTATATTTTGATGTGTATTTGAAAGAAAATATCTCACTGATTGTTTAAATATTTGAAATTAATCGTCTCATCCTAGCCTGTCGATTCCCACTTGTTCAGGCAGTTCGCCATAATTGTCTGGATTTTGTCAACAAAATATGTTGTTACAGCTTCAATTTTTGTTAAAACTTTACCATTTGGCCAAAGAACTCTGTGTTAAACGGCCGGCGTACTTAAAAATAGTTTATTAGAGCACTTAAAACTTCGGAAAAAGTTGTAGGTTCCGCGTACCTGTTCCATTATTAAAGAGTTCGTTAAACCTTGGACCATATTTCTCCAGGCCAAGTCGTAATGTTTATCTTCCGAATCGTAAATCTTCTTCAGCAAAATAGGAAATCAGTAATAAACCATTTCACGACAATGGACAAAACCCGTTAAAATAAATCGCACTTTGTGGCTCGGTTAACAAAACCGGCCTTAAAGAGTGGGAAACCAAGAGAGAAAAGTGCATTGGCGACCGTCTTCTTGGAATGGCGTGAGATTGAATTATCTCACTTTCCTGGACCTTGACCGTTGATCCCCGATGAAAGGTGGCCACAAATCCACGATTCCATTCTAATCTCATCGCCATTTTATCTCTTTAGCGGTGTTTTTATTAATGATTAATTGTTTTCATATGTACACTTGACTAAGAAATAATTGTTCCATTAAATCACTTGATATGAACAATTTATTTGTAAACAAGCTGCTCAAATTTCCTATATAAGTTTTTATGTTTAAAATTCTCTGGTTTTAAACTTGCAAGCTGATCATCTCAATAAATCTTAATTTCTTAATTTAAAGAGTCAGGACTGAAAGAAAGAGAGAGAGAGAGAGAGAGAGAGAGAGAGAGAGAGAGAGAGAGAGAGAGAGAGAGAGAGAGAGAGAGAGAGAGAGAGAGAGAGAGAGAAATAGATAGGTACATAGATTGATCGATGGCTATGTGAGAGTGAGAATGAATGAGTGATGGAGATAATTTAATTGCATAAATTAACAATATGTTTGAAAACATTAAAACGCTGAAAATATCATTTCTTTCTCGTAAAAAGTGATAGAGTCGAAACAGTACTTAAGTATTAAGCTGAAAAATAATTACATAGCTTAGAGGTGTAAAAACGTTTTTTAATATAGTTACAAGCTGCTACTTGTGTCAACTATTTTCTTGTAAATGTAGATGAACTCAGATATTTTCTGAGCTTGATATTCATCATGTTGACACTCATATTTCTTAAAAAGTAGAGCTTTAACTAAAATGACCTAAACTTAAGTTGTTTTAACACCTTTATGTTTTTTTTTTACACTAATTTCCAATAATATATATTGATCGTCAATTTTGCTAGAATTGTTGACGCTCACCTATCGAAAATTGGTGGTTTAAAGCCAAGAAAATTGTTTGTCCTTTTACCGTAATGTAAATACGAATGAAACTTTTTTCTAGACAGTCAAGCTTAACTCCAATTTGTTCTGTTGCCAAGCTAAATTTTTCGAACAATTTAAATCAACTGGTGAAGGCTTCTTTTTGTAAGGTGATAATTTATTAAATCGAAGAAGGCAGACATGGTACAGGTCGCAACTTTCCTTTAGGTAATTTTTGGTATACGTGAATGAACTCAATGTCGCCTTTTGAAAATATGTTTTCCCTTTGGTCTCCTCAGATTCTTCTATTTTTAGAATTTTTATTTGTAATTTGGATAATTAAAGTATTGATACGTTGTTTAACATTCCGTTAAAAAATATATATTTGGCGCTTATTTTAAAAATGAACGTTACAAAAAATCTACTCTTGTACTAAAAATGTTCAACGCATCAATATATTTTATTTATTATTACATGCATGCTTAATGTAAGTTAATGCAGGGAGTTCAAGAATATAATTACTTACGATTTGTTTCAGTAGTAAATTACAATATTTTTCATTACATATGTTCATCGTTCATTTTGCTCACTCTTTTATCATAAAATACCTAACTTGCCACTTGGATAGCCTGAAAAATTTAGTTACCGCTGGGTTCACTCAATACCTCCACTAGAATTTCACTAGATGAAATGGATTTACCCACATAAATATCATTGTTTAAGAAAGCCATTCGAAGTAGCTCATTAACTGAACAATCAAATAAAAAGCAAAATGATGGATCGATAAGATGTTTCTGTTTATAAATGGCAAATTTTATATTAAATTTACTGCAAGTAGGTTCCTGGAAAAATACTTTAGTTATTTCAGAATGGAACTTTGCTCAAAAGATCACTTGCAGAAAGCGGTTACGAAATCAGCCGTGATTAATAATTGCTATAATTAGTCTCTTGATTTTAACCGGTCGTTGTTTTTTTTTAATGAGGTTTCATATAAATCAATGAGATGAGCCAAATTGTGTGTCTGTTCGTTTGCATTCTGTCTGTACCTCATATCAAGAAATCCGATTTGTTTTTCACCTGGGTACTGAGGTTTGTTTGATGGTGAATATTCAAGGGCTAGGACTTTATTGTAACAAATTCTGCACTCATAGCTAACAAGTTACACAACCATAGCAGGACGCGCTTGAAAACCACAGAGAAAATCTGATCAACGCTGGTTTCTATACAGATCATCCAATTGGATATCATCAATTAAAACGAATTTAAAAAAATATTTGAGCCTCTTCCAAAAAACCAAGATACCTGAATCTCCATATCCGAACACAATAAAATAAAGAAGAATTGACTATGGAGTGGAGAATTTTAAGTTGAAAAATTTCCATCTCATCAGTTGTAAAATTTAACTATATATGTTTTATTTATATTGACTGTGAGACAATCTCACAATATTCTTCCAAAGTTCGAAGTTTCCGATTCATATCTACATAAGGATCGGTAAGGATAGTTAAATCATCAGCATATAGTAACAACAAAATATCACACAAAGAATCAACACTTAACATTTCTAACCTTTCGACCGAAAAAAATCTATAATATCAACCATAAATAGTATAAACAAAAAAGGGCTTAAAATTTCGCCTTGAAAGACCCCCTTATTCACTCTTGTCTCATCACATAAAGACCCACTCACATTAACAGAAATAGAAGCGCAGTCGTATAAACTCTTTAAAAGACAATTTTTGGGCTTAGGCCAAGGTGAAATAATTTTCTCCATAAAATATCAGGTCTAAAGGCCTTCGAAAATTTACAAAACAGGTCTAAACTGCCCTCTTCCTGAGACTAAAATGCATTTAAATAACAGAGCTATGAATAAAAATATTATCCATGCATCTAAGTCCTTACAAAAGCCAGCTTGTTTGTTCTCAGGCAGCAATTTAGCTGACTCTTCCCATATCATCTGGCGACTGAGCAAAATCTGGTTGAAATTTTTAAGGATATAATTGGCCAATGTAATCACCCTAGTTGCTTCGATATTTAGGGTCACCATTTTTGAACAGATTGTGAAACTTAGGGTCATTTTTTGGGGAAGGTTTCTGTTTCAAGTATATCATTAAACTTATTTTCAAGATAAACGAGGCTACTCTGTGGGACACCCTTGAAAAGTCCGAAAGACAAACCATCAGATTGTATGAAGAAATACTTTTTAAAAACTCATCAAGCGTTATACAAAAGTTTAGGTATGAGTGTTAAATAGAAAAAATAAAATCATTTTTTTAGCTTATACAATTTCTTGTAAAAATTACTCCATTTATCTATGGTAATCAGACTTGCAGATTTTTCTTATTTCTAGGTTTATTCACGACTGACCAAAACTAGCCCGTAGTCGCTGATAGTAAGAAAATAACTTGTTTTTCAAAATTGGTTTTCTTTAACCTTAAAAGATTGTAATTTTTCTTTTTAGCAAAGTATGACTGTTGACTGCTTTATTGTTTTTAGGGAGAGATTTTGTCACTTTCATATCGGTTTCAACAATAGCATTAATTATACTCTTTATAAAATCACGATAAAGTAAGTCAGGATTGGAATTTTAAAAGTTTGTTAACATTATATTTGACGAGATAATACAGTTTTTATAAAATTTCGATTTCGAATGATTCTAGACATTTTTTTAATTGGAAACACAAGATCATGTCTTTATTATGTTGGGAAAAATATATTTTGTAATGTTGAGAGTTAGTGAAACGGACAGTGGTCAGATAAGGATACCATGAGTAAATCTCTAGAAAGAATTAAAACTGTAAAATTTAATAAATTTTTATTTGTCTAGTAGACATATCTACTATCTGGTTAAGTTTTAGTTTGTTAATTAGATTAATGTAGTTTGATTAATGCAGCAACTCAATATTCTCGATAGTCTTCGGTTTTTTGGATGATACCTTGATGATACTATGATGAGCGCAATGACCACGCCTTAACCATTGCAGCCAACGACGCCCAACCATTTTTTTATTAATTCATTGTTTTGTGATTATTCTTTAATT